CACAAATGAGCCTGTAGAGCTGAGGAGAGGAATCTGCTTTAACTCCTGCAGCTCCTCAGAGGGGCGACAGACACGGAGAAAACTGTGGAAACAAAGGTGGAATTTTGCTGCTGAACCTGCGACTGTGGCTCAGAAGAAAACAGAAGTTTGAATATTCACTATGGAAAAGCGGAAACTTTCCACCACATCTCGCTTTGTGCAGAACCAAAGAATAAAAAAGTACTAACAACATCCACAGAAATGTTCTGATCCAACAGATGAGCATGATCCGATTACAAGCTTTACTCTTTTTCACTGGGATTTTACGTGACAAAGTGACACAAAGTAGTGCATCATAGAAGAGTTAGAAGAGTTCATGGATTCCCATTTTTTAAACAAGAAGAATCTGAAAAGTGTGGCTTGCCTTTGAATCAAGTCCCCTGAGTTAATACTGGCAGAACTGCCGCAGGCCTTAACAAGTTCATGTCTACCAGCCTTAAACGTCTGAAGACTGAAATATCAATCTTACACAGTGAAATCAATTGAAGAACTTTTTTTTTTTTTTTTAAACCACAGATGCTCAGTTCTATATAATAGGTCTAGACTTTGACTAGGCCATTCTTTGTGTATGTTTCAAGAGGTTTTCTGTAGGACGCTGAAACTCATCTTCAGTCTCAAGTCTTTTACTTCCGTGTTTTTTCTGGATAAGCTCAGATTTTCCCTCCTGGATTTAGAATCCCTAAGCTGAAGAAAAGCATTCCCACAGTATGATGCTGCCACCACCGTTTCACCACGAAAATGCTGGGTCCAGGTTAATATTCCTCCGCGTTTGAAGAATCTCCTACATGTTTGTGATTAATTTCAAGCAGGTTTTTCTTATGACTTTCTTTTAAATGACTTCCTTCTTTTCACTTTTCTGAGAGATCAATACCTTAACTGAAGACACATTGTCCCTTCTGAGTTGTGGTTCCCTGCAGCTACTCCAGAGTTACCCAAAGCTTCTTACTGTAGCTGATTCCCTGAATAATGCTCTTCCTGTCAGTTGAGGTGGACATCATGTCTTTTTACATTTATTTCCATGCTCAGATGATGGGTTGAAGAGAGTCCTGTGAATTGTTTAAACATTAACATTGTTCAAGAGTCTAACCCTGCTATAAACCCAAACTGTGTACATTGGTCTAAATAAGTCTATTGTTTTAGTTTCTAAACTTTCATTGGGGAGTATCAGATTTAGAGCCGGACACAAATGTTTCTAGTTTTCCTTTCTTGTTACTCACTATGAGCTACTTTGTGTAGATTGGTCACATCAAATCCATGATAATTGGTGCTAAACCCAGTCAAAGAAGGATTAAGATGTCACTGTTCTGAATATTTCTGAAAGACCTCTGAAGCTGATTATTTTTTAAGGATCAAAAACAGAAAAAGTCAGCATCAGTCAGTGAAAACAAGAGGTGTGTTAGCTAGAGCTGAATCCAGTTAAGCCTTTTTACCGACTGTTGTTTCAGGATCAACAAAGGACTAAGATAAGTTGGTGTTCCTAAAGAATAATCAACAGTATAATCAACTAACAGCAAAACACGTCTTTTAGGATTCATCCCATCTAAGGTATTCCAGATTCCGCTGCTGGTTCTGATCCATTTCTATGAATCCAGCAAAGAACATGTTTGTTTGTTTTTTTAACAGCCTCAGACCTGTGTCAGTCAGTAAAAGCAGCTCTTCTTCCAGGAAGTTTGATTCTTTATCTGATTTTCTATAGACAGAGGCTCAGTTTCTATAGTGTCAATCAGTGAGGACACTTCAATTCAATTCAGTTTATTTATATAGCACCAATTTACAATTGTCATCTCAAGGCACTTTACAATTCAACCAGATCATAAAGTCACATTGATTCAAAGTTTTCCATCTAAAGAAAACCAGCTGATTGCATCGACTCATTGACTCAAATACAATCCCTCACGCTAAGCATGCTTGTAGCAACAGTGGAGAGGAAAAACTCCCTTTTAACAGGAAGAAACCTCCAGCAGACTTTGGAAGGTTTTCAAGCTTCAAAGATGAGAAGCTGAGAGGTGGAACCCAGAAGCTCATGAGTAAAGCTGTCAGCCTGCAGCTTTCCCTTTCTTACATTCAGACGTTTGGCTGATTGAGGCTATGCCAGAGGAATAAATTTGTTCAATTATTGTTTGAAGCATGAATGCACTTTGTAAATGCAAATTAGTACAAATTGCAATTCAAAAAAGATTTTTTTTATTATGCTTTTTTTTTTTATCAAAAAATGGTTTTGAGTGTAACTTTTGTTGTTTTTTTCAAACTTTGTTTTTTCAAATTATAATTTTTCCCAGTTAAAGTATGCAATTAAAGTTCTTGCAAAACAAAATGTCTTTTGATTAAAAAAATGTTAAGATCAAGACACTGTATCTAAATTTGAAGTCTTTCTAACTGAGGACTGCATGCTAAAAAAAAAAAAAAGACCTCACAGTTGTGATGTTTATTCTGCTCTGATCTCATTAGCTCATGATGGGGCGGGGCTAAGATACAGCTCACCTCTACAGAAACAAGCTAAGATGAGACTTTCACCTGCTCTATTTTAGCGGCGTCTATTTCAGGCTGCCACGCTTTATGAGCTGTGATAAAGAGAAGCCAAATGACCTCTGAGCTTTGACTAAATGGGAGCCTAATAAAAACAAGGAGGAGGGGAGTCCAAGAACCGTGGCTGGATCCCTAATCAACAAGCACGCTTCCTATCTTACTGTTTTATTTACCAGAGTAGGGAGCAGAGAGCAGGATGGGGTCGGCACCTCGTGCTGCTGAGGGCGTAGCAGCACTTTCTTTTTTTGGGTGGCACATAAAGCAGAGATTTGGTCGCAGCATGACCACCGCTGCCTCAAAAGGAAACCCCGGTCCATGCCTGTGGCTCAGCCCAGGAATGTCTGCGCTCTGGAAGGCTGCAGCCTCGGGTCTCTTGGGCCGTTTGGCTTCTCTGTTGTGATAATTTCACCGTAAATGATGCGGTTGTAAAACTGTCCCCTTCAGCCATCAATTCCATCCAGGGCGGGGAGATGTTGAAGCGATGAGAAAACAATAGATGTTTACGATGCGACGATGTTTTCGATGTATAAAGAAAGGAAACAACACTGGTAGATCGTCTGGAACAGTACGCTCCATCTGTGTCTGACCTCAGCATCACCTCCATCACGGAGAAGATTTAAAGACATAAAACCACCTTCAGAGAAGGACTGAATGAAGAAGAAAAACAAGCAGCTTGGTTTCAGAGGTCAGAATCAGAGATGGAAACAGTGTGTGGCACTTCCACATGACGTTTCTAGATTGTTGGACAAATGGTTCCAGAGATAATAAGGGCTAAATTCAAGAGGAAATTATTAAGTTTAGTCACAGGCGTACTTCCTGAAGGAGTGGTGGGGACATCTCCCCACCAATAAATTTCAATATATAGACTTAGGCTCTAAGCAATATGTGGGACAAATTTCTAAATCTGATTTTGATGCTTTTGAAGGAAGATAATCCCTAATGTAGCTGAAAGGGAAAACATCCATCAATCCATCCCTATTTTTCTAGATGGATTGATGGATGGATGAATGAAACTGAAATTGTGTGCATGCTAGGCAGGCATGATATATTGCTTTTGGCATCAGAATTGGTTGTAATTCATCCTTTTTTTTATATACAATGTCCATCTACCCATAGACATAAATATCAATGTATTTTGGTTATTTTGTGTTCTTAATGATAGGAAAGCATTTAATAAATATATGTTTGAGCTCAATTTTGTTAAATACAAATGATATTGAAAGGATTTGTGTCGTGTAACTGTAGGTCCATCAGCCACCACCCTTAGAGTGTCCCTTCCAACTTTCATCACAAAGTTATACCCTTGAGTTCAGGTAATAAATATTTACCTCAAACTTGACTGAGAGAAAAATTTGCCATCCATCCATCTGCCTCCTATTGCCTCCTAAGTCCTATTAAATGTACCTAGCTTATTGTTTTTAGATTTCTGATTCACCAACATAAGGAATAGGGTTAGCCCTAATAATCTGGCAAACCGGACAGATCTTTCCACGGTGCGTAAATCAGTCTGTTGAGGCTCAATACTTTCCGTAGTGTGAGAGGCGGCCCCATAAGACCACAGCACTTTACTGTAACCATGGCCATCAAGATCACAGCTGCAATGGAGCGATGCTTTAATCATGCAGTAAACAAAAAAAGCGTTCAAACATCCCTAAAAACAGCATTCAGAGGTCATCTATAAAAAAAAAATACCATTAGAGAATAAAGTAAAGTCTGAATTCCCTGAAGTTTTAAAATTGGCACCTTGGTAGCCAATCAAAGCAGCGCCCTGCATACGCTGGCAAAACGCTCCCCAACCCAAGAAGCTGTGAATAACAGTTAGTCACATTGGATGTGTCCATTTATCAAAGCTGCAAAAGAAACTGGTATCAGCTGCTTATATCCTGAGTCTATCACGTGTTACAATCACCACGGAAACAGGAAAACTGGTAAATAAAAAGATTGCACTCCCTGATAGGATCCAACATAATGAAATGCCTGCAGTTGATTCAGAGCATCCTTCCTAACGTCTCCAGACCTGGAGGTCAACCTCATCCTGACTCTTCACCCAAGCTCTCCAAGGTGGAGACCGTCTGCCTAGCAGTATTCAACCAGTGTTCAACATCAGACAAACAGCCGCTCTGATGGGGTCCAACACTTACTATGATGACTCTTATTCCCTGTCATTCTTACATAGGAACCCCAGACTGTAAGTTAGAAACTCAAAACCCAGCAGCCCAACTGATCTCCATACTGGGAACTGAAAGGAATATCAGTCGTCATACAGGATTTCTTTGACCTTTTAGATGATAGACTCAAATCCAGCCACTAGCAGCAGACTAATTAACAGTTTTCTGTCTAAAACAACTAGTAGCAGCACTCTATCTCCCATCATCTTGGGAAAAATTCTTAAATATTCAAATTGAATCAAAGATCATTTGCCGTCTCGCTCTCACCATCGGTGGTGTCCTCGCAGTGCTGGTTGAAGTTTTCATAGGAATCCCAGCGAATCAGAGGATCCTGGGTGTTGTAGTCCACCGAGACTGTCGGCCCGTTTTCCAGGTGGTCCATACCTTGACCAGAAGTACAAATAGACGGAGCAGAAGACGTGAATACCTTTAAATCAGAAGTCCCGACTCTAACCCTTGGGGTTTAACCTCACTGATACTTACCATGGATTTTCTCTGGTCCAAGTGAGAAAATAAACTCCACTTTTCCGTATTCTGGAAACCTGTCATCTGCACACAGGAAACATGTAATACAGAATAAAGTTGCAGCTACAGAAGCTCAGGCTGTGAGTTATAACCGATCCAGGAGACCATTCTACCTTTAAATGTCTCGTCCAGTTCGTCCTTCCCAAACACAATTCCCAGGTCATGGATGGCACAGGTGTGGAACTGCACCCGGAATATCACGTCTCTGCAGGGGCTGCGGTAGCGTTTGTGGTAGCACTTCAGCTAAGGGGGGGGAAACAGTGCAAAAAGGTCACCTTCAGAGGGAAGGATGGTGAGTAGATGATGATGGTTGCTGCATGTTCTGGTTCTGACACTCCTCCAGCAGTCTGACTGGGTTTAAATTGTTTTTGTTCAGGTAGAAACCACATTTACAGCTACTGCCTCACAACTTACCAAAGAACAACAAACAGACAAACAATCAAAGGCTCCAAATAGTTAAATTGGATGAAATAAATGAGCCTTGAAGCCTAAATTAATTAAAATAGATGTTTGTTTGATTTTTTTCTTTTTAAGATGTTTTCCAGAGATTCTAAACCAGTTTTGCACAACAGAATAACTCTATAGCTTTTTTCAAAAAGAGGAAACATCAGAATGATGATGCATACTGGCTTTTATTTACTGGATGGTGGGTCAGATTCCAGAACCATGGTTACAAATGACACTGAGTAGACAAAATAAAAAGGCTGCTTCTTTTAATATTTATCATCTCCTTGTTTTTATCTTTATACCGAAGCATGGAAGTGGCAGAATCATACTATGGGGTGCTTTTCAAAATGGATCTGAGATCTGGGAAAACTCCAGCAAAATGGACGTAGCCAGAAAGGATAGAAGGAAACTATTTGTTTAAAAAAAAATTTATATTTTGTTTTACCATAGATTAGGAAATCATTGTTTGTAAATTTAATCTATTTAACACCTCTCCCTGTTCATCAGTATTCACACTTAGATCATTCTTTCTAGGATCAGTGATGCAACGATCACTCAGTTTCCCCCCTCTAATTGGCAGAAGTAAAAAAAAAAAGAAACGTTTTTTTTCTCTTTTTAAGCCTGTAAACACATCATCAAGAATCAATTTATTTATATATTTTCTTTTGTGTTCATTAAAAATCAGATAGGAATCAACGCTTTTTTTGCATTATTTGATTGATCGATTTTATTGATCTCACAGTGGAGAAATTTACTCATTACATCAGCTCAAATAGTCAAAGAAGAAGAAGGCAGCAAAAGAAGAAAAAGGTGTATGGATATTTACAGTATATACGTACAGTGCGTCCACATATGACACCTTTTTCTTTATAGTAGGATCATAATATTGGGTTAGTGCACAGGGTGTTAACTAGTGGTCGGGAAAAAAATCAGTTCAGCAATATACAGGTGCTGGTCATAAAATTAGAATATCATGAAAAGATAGATTGATTTCAGTAATTCCATTTAAAAAGTGAAACTTGTATATTATATTCATACATTACATACAAACTCATATATTTCAGATGTTTATTTTGTTTAATTTTGATGATTACAAATGACAACAAATGAAAATCTCAAATTCATCATATCAGAAAATTAGAATATTACTGAAGACCAATAAAAACAAAGGATTTATAGAAATGTTGGCCAACTGAAAAGTATGAACATGAAAAGTATGAGCATGTACAGCACTCAGTATTTAGTTGGGCCTCCTTTGGCCTGTATTACTGCAGCAATGCGGCGTGGCATGGAGTCGATCAGTCTGTGGCACTGCTCAGGTGTTATGATAGCCCAGGTTGCTCTAATAGTGGCTTTTAGCTCTTCTGAATTGTTGGGTCTGGTGTATTGCATCTTCTTCTTCACAATACCCCATAGATTTTCTATGGGGTTAAGGTCAGGAGAGTTTGCTGGCCAATTAAGAACAGGGATACCATGGTGCTTCAACCAGGTACTGGTAGCTTTGGCACTGTGTGCAGGTGCCAAGTCCTGTTGGAAAATGAAAACTGCATCTCCAAAAAGTTGGTCAGCTGCAGGAAGCATGAAGTGCTCTAAAACTTCCTGGTATGTGGCTGCGTTGACCCTGGACCTTAGAAAACACAATGGACCAACACCAGCAGATGACATGGCACCCCAAACCATCACTGACTGTGGAAACTTTACACTGGACTTCAAGCAACGTGGATGAAGTGCCTCTCTTCTTTTCCTCCAGACTCTGGGACCTTGATTTCCAAAGGAAATGCAAAATTTACTTTCATCAGAGAACATGACTTTGGACCACTCACCAGCAGTCCAGTCCTGTTTCTCTTTAGCCCAGGCAAGACGCTTCTGACGCTGTCTGTGGTTCAAGAGTGGCTTGACACAAGGAATGCGACAGCAGAAACCCATGTCTTTCATACGTCTGTGTGTGGTGGTTCTTGAAGCACTCACCCCAGCTGCAGTCCACTCTTTGTGAATCTCCCCCACATTTTTGAAGGGGTTTTGTTTCACAATCCTCTCCAGGGTGCGGTTATCTCTCTTGCTTGTACACTTTTTTCGACCACATCTTTTCCTTCCCTTCGCCTCTCTATTAATGTGCTTGGACACTGAGCTCTGTGAACAGCCAGCCTCTTTAGCGATGACCTTTTGTGTCTTGCCCTCCTTGTGCAAGGTGTCGATGGTCGTCTTTTGGACAACTGTCAAGTCAGCAGTCTTCCCCATGATTGTGTAGCCTATAGAACTAGACTGAAAGACCATTTAAAGGCTTTTGCAGGTGGTTTGAGTTAATTAGCTGATTAGAGTGTGGCACCAGGGGCCATCAATTTTGAACCTTTTCACAATATTCTAATTTTCTGATATGATGAATTTGAGATTTTCATTTGTTGTCATTTGTAATCATCAAAATTAAACAAAATAAACATCTGAAATATATGAGTTTGTATGTAATGTATGAATATAATATACAAGTTTCACTTTTTAAATGGAATTACTGAAATCAATCTACTTTTTCATGATATTCTAATTTTATGACCAGCACCTGTATAATGCTTTTTGGCTGCTTGATACAATAACGATCTTTTAGTTCCTAGTATTTCTTTTTTTTAAGCGAAACATTTTTACCTAAAACTGAGGAAAACTGAGCTACTTTTGCACCGCCAGTCTGGCAGATATTGCTGTGGAGCCCTTTTGCTGTGCAGCGCATTGCATTATCTGTAGTTGAGGCAGTCACAGTGGAAGACGTGAATTGACTCAAACCCCAAGCAACTCGGGTTTCAACTGTATTCAAACCATGGCATCTAAAAAGATAATTTCTGTTTTTTATTTGTTCGAAAACAAATGTGCAACATTCTGATACTGCATCCATGGATGGGTTAGTATTGAAATCAGCAATTTAGATGGTATTACAGAGGTATCAAGGTAAGGAGATGAGAGGAGATTAAAAATGGAGGACATTGTGAATTTGTGAAAAAAGGCTTTAGTTACTGTTGTTTAGGGCATCATCCCCCCCTGCCAAACCCATTGGCCCTCAGCCAACACTCACATTATCTCTGTTCCTGTAATCAGAATGAGACAGGCATCATCAAAGCGCTCCATCTGATTATAAATTCAGAAGGATCCATTAGTTCTTCTTAAATAAAGGATGAGATGAGTTGGGATCCATGGGCCAGAATCTCAGCCACCGCCGGCTCAATCTGAGGGTCACATAGCTACAAATGGAGGAACACTAAAGGCCCACCTCATGGGGAACTTTACAGCCTCAAGGAAAGCAGGGGGAGAAACTTTTTCCACATGAAAACTTGAGCGAGAGAATAACACGGCTGCTTCCTCCCTTAGACATTAAAAAAGCCAGACCAGCTTTCCAAAAAAAAAAAAAAAAAAAAAAAAAGGTCCAAAAATGCTGTTGGACCGGAAGAACGGTCCCACTGTTACGTCTTTGTTTCCAGAAACACATTGTGTGCTAATGAGGGTCTATAAACAGGCCTGCAGGATCCAGGCCAGCAATCTCTCCCCATGTTTTACTGCTTCTGTCAATAATCGCCAGAAATTGCTGCACAGCGTGCGTACAGTACAAGCTCCCATCATATCCATGCTGAGAGGGGAAGAACCCAACAGGACCACCAGAAACCTGGCTTATTCTGCTGGTTAGTGCAGCTTTTTTTATCAAATGTAAATGATCAGTACTGAAAAGGCAGAGCTTAAAAATGAAAACAAACATTATAAACATTTATAGTGTAAGTGTAAACCTTGTAGTTATGCTAATAGCTTACAGATACTTAAAAATCCAGTTTCTCACATTCATGAGATTAACCATTTTCCTAATTTCTCCCAATTTTGTGGGGGAAAAAAACACTATTTGTTAAGTATAAAGTTTTTCAATGTCATGCAGGCGACTTACTGAAGGTCTGATGACCTAACAGCTTATAGGCACTGAACATCACACACACAGAGCATCTCTAAAAGCAGACATCTGAGCCTGAGAGGAACATTTTATTTGACTGTGTAAACAGATGTTATGTATTGCAGGGATTAGAGATTGACTGGTTCTGTTTATTTAAGGCCGATGCAGCTACTGATTACCCTGATGTCTAACTGATCCCATATAGGTTCTGCTGATATTTTGGGGCTGATTCTTTAGGCTTAATATTACTTTCTCTTCATAATTTACATGATTACAATTACAATAATCATAACAAACAGCATATGAGTTAACATAAAAAAAAAACTGTTATTAACAAATCAAACAAAACTGATTATGGATAGCAAAATGGCGACTTCCATGATCTAAAGACATGGCTGCTGAATGCACTAATGAATCGGGGAATGCATGCAGGTATTGGCTGATACTGATGCAAGGAAGAAAAAAAAGTCCAGCTCTGGTACAGATGTACCAATTTGCCAAATCAGGTTATTATCAATGTACGATATCAATATTGTTAGAGCAGAAAACTGACCTTGGATAGTCCGAGGAAATCGGCAAACTACTAGGAAACTGAGGGGCTGGTGGAGGACAAAAAGGCCCCGAGGGTTTGAATCCACGTGAACCATTTTTCCTGTTAGCATCTTCTCTGCAGCCAGAGCAGGAGTTAGGTCGGGTCGATCAGTGTAAGTGGCTTTTTGCAGCATGCCCACATCAGATCGGGACCATAGCCGCACTGTAGTCAGCTAACCCGGCGCTAATGTGTGAACATGTCCTGCGTGGCTCCTTAAACATAATTCTTATACCAATGGCTGGATGTGAGAATGTTTCTATAAATTACCCACATTTACCATTTAAGTCCTCCAACATTCCCATTATTACCATGGACAGTTTCCAACTTGGAATATTTCCAACATTCCAAGAATAACTTCCCAACAGAAAGTTTTTAAGAGGTTTCTGAGAATTCCCTGGGACCCTTTTCAACCCAAACTTTCATACCAGTAACCAACCATGCCTGTTTTATGATATGTGTCCTGTGTCTGTGTGCGGTTCTTACCAGGATGTCCCCTTTCAGAAGGAGACCAGGTTCAATGGTGATACAGATGCTTGTCTGGCTGTCGCCTTGAACATTACTGCAAAAAAAAAAAGGGATTATATATTAGATGACTCTGTCTTATCAGTTAGCGGTGGAAACAGCAGAGATTACTCCACTAACTGCTGCTCAGTGGATATTAAACAATTTTTTCTTCAGCAAAAACCATATCAGACTAAAGATTTAAAGGAATAGTACACCCAAAACATGATTAGCCTTCATTTTCTACTCACCCCCATGCTGAACAACACTCTGGAGTACTTTTTTGATATCTCAAATGCATCTGGAGATCTGGGAGGCTTCTTGCTGTCTGCTGACATTCAAATAATGGAGGTCTATGGTGCCCGGGACAGAAAGGTCCATAAAAGTCCACAAAAAACGTGTCAATATTCCTCCATACTGCTCGTCCAATGTATTCCAAGTGTCCTGAGTGGGTAGCATCCAGAATTTACTCGAAACGAAGTCATTTAGAATGTTTTTAGAGCATAAACAGTAGTGTATAGGATTTCCTGAAAGCGCGCACATGCGCGCTCACGACGCTACGGAAGCCGGCAGACCAAACCAGATTAAAGTGCGCATTCAGCGTCTGCTCTGCCAATAATGCAAGCGTAGAAGAAGAAATGTGCTGTTTACCTGTGCAAAGAAAGAAACAACGAAAGAAAAGTGTCTGAGGACTTCAGTGTTGAGGAAGAGCATGAGTTCTTTGCCGAGCTGAATGCGCTGGTTTGGTCTGCCGGCTTCCGTAGCGTCGTGAGCGCGCATGTGCGTGCTTTCAAAAAATCCTTTATGGACCTTTCTGTCTCGGGCGCCATAGACCTCCATTATTTGAATGTCAGCAGACAGCAAGAAGCCTCCCAGATCTCCAGATGCATTTGAGATATCAAAAAAGTACTCCAGAGTGTTGTTCAGCATGGGGGTGAGTAGAAAATGAAGGCTAATCATGTTTTGGGTGTACTATTCCTTTAAAGTATCCCACAGCCTCATCAAAGGGCAACGACTGCTGACAGGAAGCATGTTCACTTAAGAAGACATGAACTGACCTGTTGGTTAAAAATAATTCAATTTGGATGTTCAGGAACACAGAAAGCATAGATGATAATGAAGTCTGCCATGATCTGGAAACCGCAGGAACATCAGTAGGAATGTCTACGATGAATCCACTTCGATATTAATAACTCTTACTCCAAACAAGGTTTGATGGATCGCATCATGTTGTGGATCCTTTTCTGTGCTAGTAGGATGGTATAAATGTTCCAACAGGACAATGAACCCAAACTGGCTTTGGACTTGATAACTGACTTTGAAATAATTGGTTTTGCCAGGTAGGGGGGTTAATAAAGGAACAGATTTACTCCAAAAACAGGTTTCCTCTGCATTTAAGGATACTATGTGAAAGCAGTACATCTAAAATGGGTCTGTTTGGGTAGATATGAGAGGAAATTAAGCCAAATAAATCCATCTTCTCACACTCATTCCATGTCAGTGCCGCAGTGTGGCTGGTGCCTATCTCCGGCAGTCTACAGGCAAGAGGCAGGGTACGCCCTGGACTGGTCGCCAGTTGGTTGCAGGGCAACACAGATACACACACTCATTCATGCACACACTCACACTTAAGGACAACTTAGAGAAGCCAATGAACCTAACAGTCGTGCTTTTGGACCGTGAAAGGAAGCTGGAGAGAACCGACACATGCACAGGTAGAACATGCAAACTTCATCTCTTGCTGCAAGGCAACATCGCTACCCACTGCTTCACTGTGCAGCTGAGCCAAATACAGTTATGTCTAATTCGACATGTGTATATAGGAGATGTTCAGCCTTTAAGCAGCTTTTACCTTCCTAAAAAACAACCGATGACCAATAAGCCACTGCCTGTCAGTCCTGTAGAACCCTAAATAGTCTCCTCAGGCAGGAACAACCCTATAGGCGTCCACATAGATGCCTGTCTGCCTCCCTATTCACAAGTTAACAAGGTGTGATTGGGGGATCTACTGCCGCAGAGGCTAGCTAAATACAACAATGTAAGTTGAGACTGGAGTGTAACTGGTGGGTTGGAGTGGGTGTTAGAGAGAGGCAATAAAGGAAAATCATAGGGTTTATTATGCAGCCCTTCTGGGGTCCCCATCCCAGAAATCCTGTTAAGAGCATTTGAGCGTCTGTTCAAACTCACTAGATCCCAGATGTGTAGACGGGCTGCATGGCCTGGTAGATTTTAAGGAAGGGACGACAACCTGCGGTAGAAGAAAGACATTTTTAAAAACACTGGATTTATTCTGGAGACGTTTGGCTGTAGGTGGAGATCAGAGGAGGACACCGACCTCCTTTGGACTCGAAGTCAGGGATGCCGTGCATGATGACGTGATGAAGGAAGAGCGGTTTGTTGTTGATCTTGATTTGGCCAGAGAGTAAGCCGCTGAAGTACTCAACATACCTGAGGGAGGAGAGGAGACAGAAAGGTTTTCCTCTAAGTTTAAGAACCAACATCTGAAAACAAACCTCACAACTCAGGCTGTCTGGAAATGTCTATCACACTCAAAAAGCTCTGGAAGGCATTGTTCAAGATTAGGACTTTAAGCCCAACTTTTGACCAGCGATACATTAATCTAAACAGTGGAAATTATTTAAAAATGAACATTTTACACATCTAGATAAGTCATTATTTCTTAAATAAAGTGCATAAAGTGAAACGGACGAACGGGTCCACACCTTTGGAATGTAGGTGGAAATCTGCAGGCCAGAAATTAATACCAGAATGTGTTCCTTTCTAGCCTGTCCAAAAACGTTTTAGCCTTGGCCAAAACCAAAGGGGATTTGTCTTTAAACATGACTCTTGTGGACAGACAACACCTCCACAGTTTTAGTCGACGGGATGTTGTGTCAGCTTATTGTTTGTAAAATACAAATACTGTTTTACCTCGCTTTTTATGGAGTGCCTATACATTTTCTGCTATTTGTAAATGACTTTTGACATTTTGAGAAATAAAAGGACGTTAAATTAAAATACTGAAGTCTCAGTCTGATCCGGTCTGATTACCTTAAGCTCAGTTGGAGATTAATGGAATGGATATCATGAAACATCATTAGTTCAACTTTTTTATTTTCTTTAGTCCAACAGTTTTGAATGTTCTTTTTTGTTTCTGCATTTTTTATTTATTTTTTTCCTACTCGCTTTGTTTCTGTTTTATTTTCCTATATTTTATTCATGTAAAGCACTTTGCATTGTCTTTGTACTGAATTGTGCTATACAAATAAATTTGCCTTGCCTTGCCAATATCTTTGGTCAGTCACTTAAAAAATGTGCAGGGAGATATCACTTCATTTTTAAGAGGTTTGTTCGTTTTACATTAAAACACTGTTTTATTTTCTTAAGGTGTTCACATTTTCTATATTTAAGCAGTTTTTGAAAATGATCAAACATTAAAATTGTGAATTTTCCACAAAGCGAGCTGGATCCTAAAAAATATGACCGTTTGCCGACCAGTGAACGCACCACGATCAGTGCTTAAAGGTCAGCTAATAACACTGTTGAATGTAGTTAGGGCAAAACCAGCCCGTATAATCACAGCTCCACCCCCATGCTTGATTGTTGACATGTGGAATTTTACAATTTTATTTTTAGAACCTGTAAAAACCAGATGTTTATTTAAGACATCTTTCTGACCTTTTCTGAGACGGCTGACCCACAGGAAGCACTTTGTCTTCATAGAAGCGCTTCATGGCGAACCTGTCCAGAGCCTGGTCAGCGCTGTATCCAAACACAAAACAATGAGGTTAACATGTGAGCAACCAGCCGGGTCAGACTTACAGTAAGTACCAGGACCTTTAACCCCATAGATATCAGAACACTGAAAAAGATGAAACAGCAGCTAAAAAAAGAGATTTACCTCTTGAAATTGAAACTCATTTACAATCCGTCAATCTTGTATTTGAAAATGTGTTAATTTGACATCATCAGCAGATTAAATTTATCCATGAACCATCAGAAACACCATGTTCGGACAGTTTGCTGCTAATAAAAGCTCTCTAGCTCCTTACTGTCAGCTTCATAAAAGCTTCCGGGATAATCAGATTAGGACAAAAACCAAAGCTTTAAACAGAGCAGAGGTCTTTTTTTTTTTTTTTAGAACATGTAAAAACATCATGTGCTCGTCTGATTGTTAGTGTTCTAACCAAAAAACAACCCAACTGAGAAAAGCAAAGAAGATTTTATATAATCTGAGCCTTATGATGCAGCTAACTTGTGGTTTTCTGCCTGTAATATAATGAAACAAATTTCATCTGATTTGCTGGGACAAAAGTGCCATCCGCTGCTCATCTCTGCAGTACTTTGGATCAGTGATATGTGTGAAACATATCACCACATCACATGATAAACATGGCGACTAATCTGGGTTGTCCTGCAGCTGGGACTCCAGACCCACCTGGCAGATATGTTGCTGTAGTGCATATAGGCAGCCACCACCACACCGGTTCTGCCCCGATTACCCTGAAAAGAAATCAGTTAAGCATCAGCAAAGAAAGTCTTTGAACTTACAGAAATACTTTAAATCTGAAAAAAAAAACATAATAATTCCAAGTATAGTTCCAGTGTTTTTCAAAGAGAAACCAAAAGAGACATCATGAAACAATGCTTCCCTGACCTCATATTTACAGACTCTGTTTACCAGGAAAAACCCTAAACTGCGACCCTGCTGTTTTTAATCTGAAAAGATTTCCATTCAGTAATTTGTTTATGAAAAAAGCTTAAGGAGCAGAAGGATTCAGAGTTCAGCACGGTTTAGAACATCAGATTCCAGGTACTAGTGTGACAACAGATACAGATGAAAGTTCTAAGCAGGAATCTTCTTCCAGATCATAGATCCGACACACAAGCAGAAACATCAGTGATTTTCCACTGGGGGAATTGAAGCTTATAAACAATGTCAGTGCAGTGGCCATTCAAAAAAATGATTTTACCCTTAATTTGAGTGGGAAAATAAGACAATCTGCCAATGGAATGATTATTTTTTACCTTTAAAATAAAATAATTAGGTATTCTGCACTTGAAATAAGAGACTGCATTTTTTCCCCTTATTTTAAATGTAAATCATCTTGTTCCATTGGCAAAGTGCTTCATTTACCTGCTCAATTCAAGAAAATGCATGTATCTTAAGAAAAAAAATACTTACTTAAATTTTGTTTTTTTTTGCAGTCAATAAGTCAATAAGTCATTTTTTCTTAAAATAAGTGCATTTGTTCCTGGATTGGGAAGGTAAAAGAGACATTTTGCCAATGGAACAAGACAATTTACATTAAAAATAAGAAAACACAATTGCATTGTCTTATTTCAAGAGCATATTATCTAATTATCTTATTTCAAAAGTAAAAATACTGATTCCATTGGCAATCTCATTTACCTACACAAATTAAGGGTAAATACACTTAATTTAAGATACTTTTACTTATTTCTTGATCATTTTTCCAGTGTATGGCTAAGTAAATTACTGGAGGACTGCTAGTCAAAACGTTTACTACGAACCTCTCAGCAAGAGGATCACAGGAGACGGAACGCAGATCTCCAGGGTATATTTATAGACGTAACACCTTGCACCATGTATGTGATTTTGTTTACATTAGAACTTCGACCTATGCTAGGAGATCTGTCCATTTTGCCAACCGTCGCTCGGAGTCAGAAAGGAATAAAGCATGACAGACATTGCAAAAGCTTCAGAGCGAACATTGTAAGCCCACGTCTGAAATACTAAACAACTCTCTGGTAAAATCTGTAGCCTCTCTATGTTTCAAATTCACTAAATATTGCATGTTTATTAGCAGGTGTTAAGCTTTGAATGGTAATGCTTTATGTATTGCTCTACTGTCATAGTTCTGTTGTGAGTTTTAGAAATAAAACAGTAAAAAGTTACTATTTGAGGAAATGTTGTACGTCTCTTTTTGCTATATATTTTTTAACATGTTTAATGAAAGGAACTAGGCTATAGTGAATGTCCATGTACTATTTATCCTTTTATAGGCAGGGTTTTGTTTTCTATAGCACATTCTAGAAAAAAGAGAGCTAATAACTTTTAAAAAATCTAATCGTTAAATAACCTAAATAATGGGTTATAAACAAAAAATATGGGTCTGATGGTGCAAGGATGTGCATGCAATCCATGTACAGAGGCTTTATCCTCAATTCGATAGTCAGTCAAGTCCAGGCTTTGCTGCATGTCTTGCCCCTCTATCTAATCCCATTTGTCTTTTTATTTTCAATAATAACCAAAAAAGGCCACTAGAGCTTAAAAAAGCTGTAAAGAAAAAACATATGTGTTAATGAGCTTATTTATGACCAAAAAAATGAGCACAAACATCATTATATGGGTTTTAAATAAAATGCGACTCACTGCAAATAATTAATAATAGACCTTGACTCATTTATAAAATAAAAAGTCCCATCATTATTAAATATATAAAACAAAACAAGGGAATCATAATCATTAAAAGGCAGGTTAGAGTAGCGCAAATTGTCTCTGTGTCGGCTGGTTTATGTGAATAACCTTCTGTAGTGCCGGAATTCTATACTTTTCCAGACTTTGTGGGTTCAGCAGAGACTTAAACTGGATGAGCTGCTTCATGTGTTGTTGTCTGCAAACTTTAGGAGTTTGCTAACAGGTGAACCACTGATGGATGGATGGATGGATGGATGGATGGATGGATGGATGGATGGATGGATGGATGGATGGATGGATGGATGGATGGATGGATGGATGGATGGACGGACGGACGGACGGATGTAGGGACGGATGTAGGGACGGATGTAGGGATGGACGGATGGGTGGATGGATGGATGGATGGATGGATGGACGGACGGACGGATGGATGTAGGGACGGATGTAGGGATGGATGGATGGATGGATGGATGGATGGATGGATGGATGGATGGATGGATGGACTGATTTTTCCAGGTGTTTAAAGAAGTGGTCCTGCATTGTACTTTCCCAGTAAAAGAAGTGGGAGAGAACCAGTTAAATAAAATATTGTTATTGCTGTTCAACTGGTGTCAGATTCCTTTCGTTTCACACGTTGTTCTTTTCTAAAACAGATTGCGGGGACTGAGCGTGTTCTGCATTATAAATACTGAAGCTGCTTAAACCACGGGGAGCCCAGTGGAAATGATTTGTTGATTTGCTGAAACCTGACATGGCCCGCTTCCTTAGTGACCACCACAACCTCTGAGCTCCCTTCCTCAACTCTCAGAGCTGCAGTCGCCATGGCAGCCAACATGTTTGTAACCTCCCTGTGGGAACACGGCGGCCTTAAGTTTTAGGATCCTTTGGCTTATTTTGATTTTTGCAAAAGAAAAAAAAAATCAGGACTGCAGTTGGTCTGCCATGAAAATATTTAGGTGTTAGATTGGGGGTAATTGCTTTTGGATGTTGTTTTTATTGGTGCTGTCAGAACACTTTGGAGCCAGATGAGTGTGGCTCGCCACAGAAGTTTAATGTGAAGCAACAACAGCGAAATATTGGTCAAGTCAGATTTTATGGCACTGTTGAGGGTAAAAGAGTAAATAAAACCAAGCAGCCATGATGACTGTTCTGCCTTCCTGCTCTAATTTGTGTTTTCCTAACCCTGCGAGTGGAACCTGACCCAAACAATCACACAAAGGGAAGCAATGTAAAGCACAAAACACTCCACCCCGTTTCACCGGGGAGGACGTCACTACAGGAGCAGCTGGAGCTTCCTAAGAGCAGCTCACAGCACCACCTGCTGTTTGCAGATGCTAGTCAGTCCCACCTTGTTGTGTATCACCACCACGTTGTGGCTGTCGGCGCTCAGCCAAGTGTCCATGGCTTTGCAGATACTGCAGATTTTATCCAGGGCCGGAGCGTGGTGGTCAGGCCAGCCGAAGTCCAACACCTTGAAAAGAGGAAGGGTCGGGATGAATGTTGCTCAAAAAGTGGAGAAGAAGAGAGGAAAAGAGAAGTGAAACTACCTTTGGGTTCAGCTGACTGATGTCATGGCGCTTCTCACTGAGGTTGAAGAGCTAAAAAAGAGAAGAGAACGGATGCATTAAGAAGGGTAATAGTTTACCTTAAATTTTGTTGCTGTTTTATTTTTGCTAGAATCCTTAAAAAACATCAGAGTCCAAAAAAGCCAGATCAGTCTATTTGTGTTCTTTCATGTTGTTCAAGTTGGCATGGCAACATAAAAAAATCTTCGACACACAAGCACTTCCAGTCTCTAAAGCAGGTCTGGTTCTGGTACCAGCACCAGGTTCTCTAAAAGCGCAGAGAACAGAAAACCTCTGATCATCATTTCATACCTAAAAGCATCACTTTCCTGATTTTGATTAAAGAAATCAAAAATAGTCCAAAAAAGAACCTGATAACCAATATTTGTTCATTATATTTATTTCTGTATCCTTTCTTCACTGTGAAATAAAAACCACATCACCAACTTTGCCTCCTGGTGTCGCCTAAATCCAATGCATCTAATGAGAGCAAGCAAAAATGTTCTGGTTTCCAACAGAACCAGTACCATCCACCAGCTGGGACCAACCTTCCCAACTGAACTGGACCGCAGTGCATTTGATTGGACCGAGTTCAAACAGGAGCAGATCGGTAAAATTCTCCTGTTCTCTACTAGATATTTTACATTTAGTGGAACAATCCCAGAGTGCAAAGTCAGCAACACCATCACAAAAAACTCCCAGAACTTTATTATTTTGTGGAAATGAATTAAAGAAAAGCTCTACAAGATGGACAAGTTACTGCAGAGTAACACCAGATCCTGGGAACAAGGCTACAGATACAAAGACACCTTAAAAAGCACTGATATAATAGCAGATGATTAATATCAAACTTTAAGCCATTTATTATTTAAGGAAAAAAAAACTCCCACATTATTAAATAATTATCTTTAACGAATTATGTTGCTGCCTTTTTTAAGATGAAGTTGTTGTTTTTTTTCTTCTTTTTCCTTCTCCTACAAGTTCTTATGATTTCCTGTAAAGAAAACAACAACAGAGTTTTCCTCCATTTAGCCCAACTGCATCTACAGGCTCTGTTGGTCAGTTCATGATAGATCATATTCTCTGAGCATGAAGGTGGGCGTGAAGCGCTGCACGCTGTCGTTCTTCTGGCCACTTTGTTGAGTCTCAGAGAGAACAGGAGGCATTTTTGAAAACGAACAGCCACAAGTTTACCTCAAACAACATCACAGACTCCATATTTTCATACTGAAGAGAAACTAGTGCAACGAATTGCAACGAAGCCTCTTTTTGCTAAAAAAAAATATGATTTTCTTGAAAAATGAACTTCAATATTCATAACCGTCTTACTTGTAATGACATTACACCTCTGAACAGAAGACCTGTGCAGAGACAGCGGCAGACAGCCCAGCTTATCCTCTCCTTTCATGTACGTGAACAACATGGAAGTCGTTTGAACGTGTCAACTTTCTTCAGAAGCTTGTCATAATCTGGTAATAGCTGTTTCATATATCTATATATATATATATATATATATATATATATATATATATATATATATATATATATTTTTTTTTTTTTTTTTTTTTTTTTTGCAAGTCAAATCTTCCTGAAAACTCAAAACACACCAAACCGTTTGATTTTCACCAGGACAATGATGCTGTCAAACACATTTTATATGGGGCCACCTTAGCATTCATATCAAGTCTTTTAAAGAGCTGAAACTTTTTTTTTTATCATTCAATTTTAAATACTTAAAACAAACATATGTCTTTATTTCATGGCATGTTGCTCCTCTTTCAGCTCTGAACGCGCTGGTTAAAGATCTCTATGTTCTCCAACTAACAGAAGCAAATGAGGAGTCCAAGTTCCATTGGGACAACAGTAAATGTCTCATCTGGTTGAGCGCAAACAAAATCTGGAAACCAAACAGCAGCAGCACCAAACTCTGTTCCACATTATGAGGACATTTTTTTTGTCAAAGCTGATTGTTCAAATGATGAAGACCTATTATATGATTGAACACAATAAATCTCAGCTAATCCTTCCCATCTGGAAGCAGACTGTTCGGTTAAACCTAAAACCACATCAGAGTCACCGCACCAGGTAGTTGTGTCCGTGTTTGGAGCACAGCATGGAGGCCACCTCCCTGAGGTTAGCGGCGTAGCTCTGCTCCTCCACGCTGCTGGGGAAGGACACCGAGATGATCCTTTCTGTGATGTAGATCAGGTCCAGCTCATAGCCTTCGTCCAGCGCCTGCAGGAGGCTCGCACTTCTGCACAGAAATCAAAGAGAGCAAAACGTCATGACGGGGGGATTGCTGTCAGGGAGTCATTGCAGACATTCAGGGGTTTCAGACATTGAGTGGCTGCTTACGACATCAGCATGCCTGTTCTGGTTCTACTCAGGGTTGCAAAATACATTTCAACACATTCCTGGACCTCCTTGGAATAAACAACCTAATATGGAGAACATGCAGCATAAACACCAAATCTACAGCAGCACCAGCGGGTTCCTGCAGCCTGACAGTGATACGGGCTCACCAACGATGACAGGTCATGTGGTCAGACTGCAGAGCGAGGATAAAGGGATTCATTTATGGATCCCAGCAGAAGAATGCGAGCACCTCACAAGTTCACCATGTGATGAAGGGAAAAGATTCCTTAGAAGTCTGTTGGGACACTATTTTGCTGCAGCTACGTGTCACTAGAGGTGAAAGTGGATCAGGTAAGAGGAAGTAAGAGGGGAAGAGACCCAGAACTGGATTCTAAGAGACGTGATTTTCCCTCAACACGCGTGAAATTGAAATTTTCCAAACCGAAGACCTAAAAGGTCCAAACAGAAAACACATCCTTTGGATTTGATCTTGGTGGATCTGCAGATACTAATCTGCTAAACAGCTCCCCAAAAAGTTTAAGTTAAAAAACATTCCACTGAACTTTGTTATCCAAGTTTGAGGACGTTTCACTTCCCATCCAGGTAGCGTTCTCAATTCAAAATGTCCGGATTAGCGTTGGAAAACTTGGAAAACAAAGTCCAGTGGTTTGTTTTTTAACTTTAACTTTTTGGAAAGACTATGACCTGGAAGAATGAGAATCTCCACCAGCTCCATTTGCAGGATTCAAGCTTTTTTCAGGTGTTTTGTCGAGATTCACCAATCAGGCCTCTCTTGGTTCTGATCCACTAATTAACAAAAGAAGAACAAAAATGAAGAAAACAACTGAGAAACATTGATCATGAAGGCTTCCTTTCCTGATCTCTACTGTCTGATATTTTATGGAATAGAAAACAAATAAAAAGAAGAAAGAAAAAGGTTGACGCATTTCTGGACTGAAAGATTGTGGGAGTTTTTTTTTTTTTAATCTGGTATGTAATGTAGTAAATAACATTTTGAAATATCTGCTGCTTTTACATCAAAGAGAATGTGTCAGGTTCTGATCTCTGGATTTATGCACATTTAGATTTTTGTTTTATATATTTAAATGGTAAACCAAAGAGGAATTAAATATATTTTCAAAGTTTATCTTTAACAGAACTTCATGGTTGACATTTAGTTAGAACTTCTCTGGTTTTGTCTTCCTGACCAGAGCCTTCAGAACACATTCTGAACACATTGATCCCATTTGCTCGGGTTCTGGTTCTGATCACTGATTACGGGTCTGTAGGTTTTCCCAACATTCAAAACATTCTCAACATTCTCTGAGAAGATTCGATCCCAAACATCCCAGACAATCAGCACCATTGCTCCAGTCTCCTCCTCCTTCTGTCTGTCCATTATGGCATTCTTAGACAATAGTTTCCCAGAACCTGCTGCCCGAGGTTAATCAAGCTCTGCACAGGTGGTAAGATGGTTCTGTAGCCCATCTCTGGTCCTATTCCATCTCAGATGTCCTAAAGCTTATTTATTTACACCAAGTTGACCTCTTTTACATGATGCAACTGTTCTGAGCTCTTCTGTTTGGGGTAAATACTGTAAAACTGAGGCTTGCTCTGATCTTTGCTGCAAGTTTCTGCTGTATGTTTTTATTCACGTCTCGTCTCTGGATGGAGATCAGACTTTTTCCCACCAGATCATCCTGTTACAGCTGCCTCAAGTAACTGTGTTGTGGTGATAAAGGTGGGCGGTTGGTGGACCAAACATGAGCTGTCAGATGATGAGCTGGGCTCAGGGTGTCTGATCTCAGACTGCTGCATGTTTCCCATATTCGTCAGCCTCTGGTCGACGGAGAGGAGATCCCTCCAGCTTTACTGTACTGATACTGTAACCTCTGTGGTACATCTGGAGCCAATCAGAACCTGTTTACTGGAAATGATTCATTACACTGACTAAGGAAGAAATAAAGCTCACATGCCTGCAGCGTCTCCAGAAAGATGCAGGAAGGTTTTCTGAACGATTTTGCTTTCTCCTTATTTGTCCTCTTCTTGGTGTCCTCTTTGTGCTCTTGAGTTTTCTCCCTTCATGCATGTTTTTGACCTCTTCTTGCACCAACAGACAGAACAGAGTCGTGGTCTGGTCTCCTTCCAGATCCGGCAGTGTGGGTCTATCAGGCCAGGAGCCAATTGGCTTCTCATCAGCTGCAGAGATTAAGTGATTGCTGTTTTTTGCTGCATCGCGTTTGGTGAATGACAAATGATCTCAGCACGCTCAATTTGAGAGCGGAGCTGATCCCATTTGGACCAACACAAATAGTGAAGAAGGATTCTTCAATCAGGAAACCTGAGATGTCTGGCTGGAAGGAGATCTGTACCGGAACAAGCAATGGCGGCGTTAAACCCGACCTGCTGGACTCCCCAATGGTTAAATAAATGGTAGGTGTTTTACCAGACCTGCAGAGACAGCCCACATGTCTGCACTGAGACGGAGAGCGGGTCACGGTTTGGACATCAGTTTGATGGGTACCACCTAGACAGGCTAAGCTGTAGACATGTTGACTCTTTCATAGAAATCATTTTCTGATGGTTGAAGCCTCTCTGAGCTGGAAGTTGCTTGTTGCCTCTGAGGAGAACAGCTCAGGAACAACCAGTGGGAGTTGTTTATCTGTACTAATATCACCAAGATCCCAATCAAATCAAGCATCGGTGGGATGTTCAGGGGAATAAAATGCCCGGTCATAATGTTGTGCCCGGGTAGAGTCTATGAACACAGCAGCTTTATTTGGAGCAGATTTTACCGAAGCTTCAAACTGGTTCTCCTGTTGGTTCTGTTTCTGAATGTTGTCCTGTTATTATGAAGGGAAACAGAACCGACTTATAGGGATTTATTTCTACATTAAACAATACCTTTTGGTCCAAACTGAAAATAATGTTTCTCTACTTTTTATCAGCAGATCTATTCTTTTCATTTCCCATTTTTATTTTTCCTCTTCTTCTCATTTTCTTGTTTTTCTTATTATCTCAATGCTGCAGAAAGACTTCTGTTTGTTTTTCCTCATTATCAAAAGTCTCACTGTCGGCCATCTGCTGTGGTTCAGTTCATCCTCTGCATGTGGAGCTTAAAGGCATCATTAGCAGACTAAATGAACGAGGTCTTTAATCTGGACAGCAGCTTTTATAGTTTCGTATTTTACACTTACTGTAGACAACACAACGAGAACCGACTGGGACAGATTATAGAAAGACACATGGGTGCACTAATTATCAAGTTATAAAATATGATCGACCATTATTAAAAAAAATCTTCCCATCTCCACCTGGTTCTGATCCAAGATCACTTTAATATGAATACCGGATTCTTCCATCTTTAATCTTTGAAATTATTCAACAGAAAAACTGATGAAACATTTTCTATTGGTAAAAGTTCAGGAAATAAAAGGCAGAAGTGAAGACAGAGGAAGATGAGAGGGAACCGACCTGGACGGTCTTCTCCGTGACTCCATGCTCTTTGAGGATTTTGTTGAACCCTGGAGATGACAAAAAGTCACACATCAGTTTTTCATTTTTACCTGCTTTTAGTTTCAGCTACTCTTGTCGGCCTCACTGCTTATTTTACTACAGATCGATGTAAGACTTCCCATCAAATCTAATCTTTTCCAATCTAAGCATCACAGGGGAAATTAACATTTACTTGTGATTTCACTCAGATCATCTTCATTTAAGGGACATAATAGCAAATAAACGAAAACTTTAGAGAACTGTGGAGCTGTACAAAAATATTGATAAAGCATTTAATCAAAATGTGTTTTTTGAAATGATTTTCCAAAACATATAAAGTATTTTATTGCTAATCTAAATGTTCTTTAAATCTGAGCTTTTACCAAATATATAGTTATTATCAAACCAGGAGAAAAAAAGATTATTATCTCCCTAACCCTGAGCTTAATAAAATAAATATGACTTTATTTAGGTTTTTTTTGTTTTTTTGGGAAGTTTTTTTCGAGCACAAATATAAAAATCAATTGAAAAAAATTCAATTAAAAGAGTAATTTCAGTAGTAACACCACCGCTTGTGTTGTTAAAAGGAAAGTTATTCCGGTTCTTAATGACTTGTAGAAACCCAACATCCGTAGCCCCTATCAGGACTGACCCCCCAGGGTCTCGTCACGCGGTCATGTTTGAGTCAGAGAACGTCAGAACTCAGAGAACTCCAGCACACATCCTGACCTGCGACACAGCTTTCAATAAAAACCCTCAACATGAAGGAAAACATGAGCTGCTGCTTCTGCTGCTGGGAAGTTTCAGCCTCATGTTGGAGTATTAGCACACTGAGAGACTTAAAATACAACGTACACCCTGACAGGAGGGTGGGGGGGTGTCATTACTGGTTCACATGATGTGTTCATGCAGCAGAAGAGAGGGGCCCCTGCAGAGCGGTTTGACTCTGAAGGTGCATGACTGTGTTTGGCTCCATTAAAGCCGCCCAGGCCGACTCCTCCTCAGACCAGCTCAAAGAGGAGCTCAGAGGGGGGCGTTCATCATCTATTAGACTTGACTAGCTCGCTAACGCTAACCATAACCTATGGCTGTCCTCCCTGCAGGAGCCTCAACCTTCTCTGCTCCTCTAACAGCTCAGCTGTCTGAAAGGGAATCCTTTTGTTTTCTGTTTCCACTAAACTGACCTCATTTGCTGCAGAAGGCAAATATCTGAGAAAAAAAGAGACCTTTCCTAAAAGTAAAGATGGAGGGAGGGGAGGGGGGGTTTGGTCAGATGGAAAAAACAGTAAATAGGCTCATAACTGGATCTGATTAAACTTCATTATCTAACATACCCTGACCGCTCTGTTCAAGGAGATTACAATAATTACTCCATCCTGATATATATTTGGGGTAAATCTTTACGAAATGAGAGATGGAAGGAGAGCGCGATAGAAATGTTCTAAAAAAAGTCTTCAGAGGGTGTAGAAACCCAGAATTATTCATGACAGATTTACACTTTAGATAAATGATAAACATAACACACCGGAGGATGATAAAAGGATAAAATAAATTAAAAGATGAAAACAATTTCTCCTCTTGATGTTCGACAGAATCAGAGGCGTTTTGCAGAGAAGCTTTTTGAACTTTTTGGTTGATATTTGATGAGCTTCAAGTCTTCGGGTTTGGAAGGCCTCCTAGCCATAACCCTAATCTTTAGCTCCCTTATCTGATTCTCTATCATGCCTCAGACCTCCCCCTGAAAAAAACATTGTTTCTTCCAACCAGAACAGAAAAGTCTGTAGTTTTTATGAAAAATATCTAGCTTAAATTTATCTGAAGCCAATTCAGAAAAACCAAACAGAATTGGAAAGGCAGACAGACACTCCTACAGATTACAAACATGAGTAGATTAGCAGTTTAGTTATTCAATTGCCCCAAGAAAAAAAAAGGAAGTTAAACTAATCCAAAAAAAGGGTTAAACTTCTTCACATCTCTGTAGATCACATCAAACTAAAATAAAACACCAGTTTTAACCCTGAGGCTGATATGATCCACACAATATAAATACCCAAATTCTGATGTAATACAAAGAACATGAGATTAGGTCCCTTGGTACCAGCTAAGCATTATTTTATAAAAGCCATGCTCCCTGTCACAAAGCTCAAAAAATCTGGAACCGGTTTCTGGAACATGACAGTGTTCTCTGAATTAGAGGTCGACCAATGGAAGCTTGTTTTAAAGCGAATGCTGAATATGGATTATTATTACACATGTATAACCGATCCTCTCTACATGTTGCCGATTCCTTTTGTGCATTTTTTTAAGGCAATGTTTCTTTTTGTTCCGTTTTTACATGATAAAAATAAGATAATGATGACAAATCTAAAGTCTTAAATTGAACAAACCAAAGATTCAGCCGGCTGATGTATCGTCGTCCTCTAATCTAAACCCAAATGGTCTGCAGCTTCACCCTACACTGCAAAAACAATCTAGAAATAAGTAAACATTTCTTAAATTAAGTGTATTTCCCATTAATTTGAGCCGGTAAATAAGATGATTTGCCAATAGAATGAGTAGTTTTGCTACTAAAATAAGATAATTTGATAACATGCACTTGAAATAAGACAATATAATTGTTTTTTCTTATTTGAAATGTAAATTGTCTTGTTCCATTGGCAAAGTGCTTCACTTACCACCTAAATTCAAGAAAAAATGCACTTATTTTAAGGGAAAATGACTTCAATTTTTTGCAGTGTAGATGTGCAGCTAACAAACCCAGATCTGAAGAATGTTCCTGACAAAGTTTTTAATCTACGAAATAAAGAAGCAGCAACAAAAAAAGAAAAGGGGTACAACCCGCCACAGAAAGGGATCCTAATGGAGTGAGTAACTAAAACTACCAGGTCATATCTCATGTTGCTTTCAGTTTTTACTGCAAACTCTATTTAACATCAACATGTTTAACATATTTAATCTATGAGGATGAAATCTATAAAATGCACAGAGTATTCCATACAAGCTGCTCTGACACAACTAGAAGTATTGGGGTATATTATCCTACTGTCAAGCATGGTGGTGGCTGCATAATGATGTTGGACATTATTACTACTAGTAGCGCTGCTGAAGTTAAAACAATGGTGCTGAAATGAGCCATAATTGTACTCAACTAAGAGCACTTCTACCACTTCATTATACTTTTATTCAAGTAATAGTAAAAAATTTACTTGGTTAAAAGGGTATTTAAGTATTGAGTAATTCATCTTAACACCGGATATTTACATTTATGTGATACAGAGAGACCAAAATATAAAGTTATGTGCAAATTCTGGTATTTAAAAGACTATATTAAAATAAAAAACAATTACTATCCAAGCTTAACATAACTATTGAAATCAGTGCCTCCAGTGACAATATTTACTCCTCACTGTCTGTCAGGTCCATCTCTAAAAGTCATAGTAAATTGAAGTGAACTTGTCTATGAAAGAAAGACTTATTTTGATGCAAACATCAACTGGAGCTTTTTTCACTTCATTGAAGTTACTCAGGTTGGGTGGAGGAGCAAAATATTTTACTCAAGTAAGAATGGAGATAAGTACTTTATTGACATATTACTCAAAAAAAATAAAAGGTATGTTTAAGTAAAACTAGACATCAGAGTATATTTCTGTCAAATAAAATCTATGATTTATTACGAAGACTGACTATAAATCTTTTAACCTCTGTAAGGTAGTTGGAGTTCGGACCCAGCTGGGTCCACACACCTCTAGGCCACTTTTAATGGATAAGAAGGTCACATTAGGCCTATTTGGAGGGGGTATACTGGAGGCCTTATTTTAAACAGTAACAGCTCTTTAGGGTCCCACATTGTGATTATTTCATCCTTCAGGAACCTGATATGTCGCCACGGCAAAAATAAACAACCATGAGAGTGAAAGATTTGTGCATGCTACTCTGTAATGTGGCAGGAGACCCAGTAATGTCCGACAGGCTGACTTTTAACTCTTCAATCGATGAGAGAGCAACAATTGTCCAAATTAGTGTTATAGGATATTTTGTTTTGGATCTTTAATTAAAAATGAGTTCTGACCAAATTGTAAAGACTTTACATAAATGCATTAAGAGGAAAATGGCTCTAAAAGTAAATACTGGAATCCAGTAAGGGGCCCAAGAAGCTGTGACTGAAGAAAACAAGCATTCGTTCTGCCCAGTAATTCCAGCAGAACTCTACTGGGATTCATGGGAAGCTGTCAGATCCAACTGATAAGGTTCTGATGAGAGCATTTCAGCAGCGAGCACACCAACATTAATGTTTATGCACACAAAAAAAGCTCATTTCTAGATGCTTCGCATTCATCTCGACATTCCCACGAGGCTGCTGCCGAACTGGGGTGACACAAAGCACCCACCCCCCCGCCTAATTGCTCCAGTATGGGAGATCGACCTCCGAAGTGCAGGGAGTCGTCAGAGGAGGACAGAGATGAATTAACGACGAGAGAAGGGGCAGAGATAAACGTGAAAAGAGGAACTGAGAAGATCAACCCATTTGACTCAACATTTGGGTTTTAATGACCCTGAGTGGGATCTGAGTGGCTTTTATGAGCCAGAACCTTTCAATCACAAATCAACCACATTTGCAAATAGAAGAAATAAAACAAAAGCTTTTAATGTGCTGGCATTGTTAAAAACTAAAGTTTGTTTAAGCAGTCGCAGAGTTAATGAAGACCATCGCTGTTGCGGAGCAGAGGAAGCCCTGATATCTGTAATATGTGCTGCTTAAATCCATTTCGTGGCCCTGCAGCGTTAAAGACACCCCATGTGCATTTTAAAAGCTCGCGCTGGGAAGGAGCGCGGCAGAGGTGGAGGAGGTGGGACCTGGAGCTGAGGGGGGGTTCCTCCAGGCCCTGCTGCAAGATGAAAACCATCTGGGGAGGTTGACTTTACAAGCAAACCATACAAATTAACCATCTGAGAAAGAGCGAAGGATGGAGGAAGGGCTGAAGCCCGCTGGTGAGAACCAAAATCTGAGCGCCAAAAAGAGAAGCTTTAGAAAGACGCATGGTCTCCCCATCCTACCTTCCTGAAAAGGTGGCCGGTGCTCCATCGCCATGCCCCCCTCAGAGAGGAGAGCCGCCTTCTCAGAGACCCTCCTCGGTTCATCTCTTCTGCTGCCCGTCGCCGCTCCGTGTGCAGCGGTGAACTTTTCTCTCAGGGACCTCTCCCTTTTCCCTGACAGCCAAGGAGTTCACCAAAGCAAAAAAGGGAAAAACAAGGGTTCTATTTTGGGCCAGCCGGGCCAATGCTGCTCAGACCAGGCTGTTCCACAGAACTCCTCCGTCCTCCCTGTGTTCTCCTTTCTCTCCTCCTGTCTGCTGTGGCCTCCCTCCCCCTCCAGCTCTGCCTACCACCCAGTTATCTCTCCCCCTGATGTTCAAACTTTTCCCTCCCTGCCTGCCTCCCTCCCGTAGCTTTTTTTCCCCTCATCTGTGTACAAATCTAAATTGCAACTGTGAACCGTTTCCGCCTCTCAGGACAAACATCTGGGGACTGATGAATGTTTGTTCATAATAATAAGCACTTAGCAGACAGTTAGCAGGCAAATATCCATAGTGGGGTGTATGTGAAGGGGGGGTACAATATCTTTATCCCAAAGAAAATGAAGCAATGAGACGAAGTGAAGCGTTGGATTCATGAGATGAATGCTTCTGATGCTCCCAGGCGATGAGGCGAGGCCCGCGTCCGCCTGACATCACAGAGCGACCACAAGCCAGCGAGCTTCTCCGGGTCAGTAACAGCTGCACAGACATGTGACCATGCAGGAAGTCTCACCCATAAACTGGCTTCAGAGAAAGGCCGATTCAGGATCCGCATTAGACGAGAAGACTGCGCCTCTGTTCCTCTAACTCAGCAGGTTTGTGCAACATCTTTGTCCCGCACGACTCTGGCTTCTCTGTTCTGCTCTCTAAAAGTAGATAACCTCATTTAGAGACTCCACTAACACTCAACTCTGGGCTAAGTTTGGAAATGCCAGTAAAAGCGAACCACACGCACAAACAGAGACAAACTGGTTGAGTTCTGGTCTGTGTGGGGACAGTGGGCACAACCCCACGCCGCTTCCACGATCCTTCCGTTCTCAGACAAAAATCAGCCCAGAGGATGTTGTCACAGACAAATGTGGACCAGTGGGTCCAAAACAAACACAGTGATGTTTGTGCTGCTATAACTTAGCACACAAAGAGGAGGGCTGTACGATTTTACGTAAATATGAGGTAGATCAAACGTTACCTGCAGACGGTGGCACCTTTCTAATGCTCTTCAAACCTCCATTGTTAAACCCCGCCCCCACCCTCCCCGGACATCTTATGCAAAACATTACTTATCGTCTCTGATGTGCAATATTCTTCTCCGTCACTGTGCAATAACACATCCCAACAACTGTGTAGCCTGTGTATTTTTTAAAAACTTATTTATAAGGTCAGTACATTTCTGCAGTGCAAGTGCGATAACCCAATTCAGTTACTGTGTAGTCTGATATTTTTATATCAAAGGGACAAACTTTCCAGGACATTACAACTTTTTCTTTGTACTATATGCACTCTTTTTATATTCTCTGTCGTATTTTTATCTTTAATGGCATCTTGCTCTAACTCTTTGTACTCTATAAAAGCTACTGGAACCGGAATTTCCCTGAAAGAGTAATCCCAAGGGATAAATAAAGTTGAGTCTAAGTCATTTTCTTTTTGAAAGTTCTGCAAACATATTTTGATTTTATGGCTTGAGCTTTTGGATTTTGCATCATTAAGTTAATCGGCTGAAAATGTCTGGTTTAATGAAGATGACGGAGACATTTTTACTATAATAAAAAAGTTGCATCATGATTTCAGCTCTTGGAGCAGGAAGGAGACCTGCAGAGGCTCACTTCAGAAACCCAGACACCATCACTGAACACTACTAGACCCCTTTTGAATAATTAACTTTTTAATGAAAATATATACATATCAGACCAACTTAAACAGAAACTTATAAAAGAGAAAAATAGATCAAAATAAAAAAAAAATAAAAATAAAATTAAAATAAATGCAACTACATTAAACAATATAATATTATGAACATAAAAGAGAATGAAAATGACAGTAAATCGTTAAGCATACGAAGCCTCAGTTTAAATTATCCCTACTTATTTTAATAAAAACATATGTGGGGAAAGCAGTTTTATCTAATTCAAGTAAAGGACACAGCTGGATTAAAGCATAAAGCGGGAGTAAAGTAAATAAAGGCGGCGGCTGAGACTCACCATGGTGTCTACATGCTTGAGAGCGAGGTTACTGCTTGGTGCCTGTTAGGAAACAAAGAGGCACAATCAATACACATCATATCTTCCAATCATATCAGGTCATGTGCAATTATTTTTATATGAGGTTATATCTAGGGCCATTTGGGAGCCAGTGTTTGCCCAAATGTGGTCCAGAGTGAATCAGGATTCCAACTCTGAATGCGGGGGACCATCTATTATCCCCCCCTGTACAAATATTTACACAAAGAGACAAGACTGCAGCCTTTAGCCAAGACCGAAGGGTCCGGCCACAGTTTCACTGCCTTATACAGCAATGGAGGGAGAGAGAGGGAGGATGAGAGGAGCATAAACAGCAAGGAGGTAGGTGGACGTCAAGGACAAGCTGAGACGGAAGCCAGGTGGGGCAGATAAAGGCGAAGACCGTGATCATGTCAGACTTCATGATGCGGGATTCATCTGCTAACATGGAAAAAGGAAAAGTAACAGAAAAAGTCACATTTTCCAACCTGCCCACACAAGACGTCTGCTAAAGGACTGAAGATGCAAAACATCACTGGCATCCATTAAAGAACCAGAACTGAACCTACAGAAGATGCTGGACGTTCAATGGATAAAATAGCATTTCAGAAATGTAAAGGAGGAATGTTTTAGCTTTCATTAACTTAACGTGTTGTTATTGGATTTATCTTCACAAATATCAACCTGTATGGAAACACAAAGGACTGCTCAATATGTGAAGGATTATTAGATTTGGGCTTTTTGGAAGACTCACAGCTCCAAGCTAACAGATCTTAGACACAGAAGACAAAGGAGTGTTTGAAATTTGTGCTTTTCTGTTTCTCATCCCGCCTGAATTCTGACCAAGTTTGAGTTTTGGGATCAAACTGATCTTTTCTACCACCGTCTGCCTCTCTCATGTTTGAGTCTGGATCAGGACAGTTAAATATAGCCACTCAGGCCAATACTTTAGATCATATGTGTCAAACTCAAGGTCCACAGTGCGGACCGGCCCACCACAGCAATTTCTTTGGTCCTCAACAGCCAGAAAAGGCATACAATGTTATTAAAAAGGAGTTTGAAATGCCTACTTTAGATGATCCCATCCAATATCTGTATCTGACTAATGGTGCCCATTTCACTGCATGAAAAGTGAGATTTTCGTCCCCGTAAACCCCCGTAAACTCCCGCAGATCTGCCTGATTTTCGTCAGTTTCCGACAATTTGCAACCCGTGCTTGTCCGCGTTTGTCGTGCCACAAATTGTCGGAAACGGACTCTGACGTATGTGGAGAGCGATCAGCTGTACTAATGGCCCTAATTAGCATATGAATGCAGCAAACCCGCGCGGCTGGCCAGGTCTGGCTTGAATAACCTTCTCAGTATTGGCTGAAACCACTATTCTCAAACAAGTGAAATCGCTCGTGATTGGCAGCAAAACCACACGTGGCCACGCCAGGCTTTAATTTTCTTACTGAGTATTGGACGGAACCACTTCTTTTTAAACAAGTAAAGTCGCTCGTGATTGGTTGGCATATATATATATATTTACATATATATATTTATTCATTCATATATATATATATATATATATATATATATATATATATATATATATATATATTCATATATTTATTCATTCATATATTTGTTCATTCATATGCTGTGTATTTATGTTATCCTACACTACTACACAATTATTATGCTACCATCAAGGACATGAATGAATTTATACAGGAAATGAAGATTTGCCAGGAAGCTGTTTATGCAAAGAAAGAGGTTTATTAAAACACACACAACTATATACAACGCGTATCCAAACACATGCGTATCTAAAAATTACAACTCCGTGAACGGTCCGTTTGCTTCCTCGGGGTTGGAGGTAACTGGCAGCATTCCCTCCGAGGCAGGTCCGATGTGCAGACGCATACTGTGCGTGGCCCTGTACTTCGGCATCGCTTCTAACCGGGACTGCAGCTTAACACAGAGTTCAGTGAGATCCGGCCTACGAAATGGCGGCGACCGTACAATCCATCCAGAGACACCGCCGACGACGCCATCTTCTTCGTCGGACATGAGGTCGACGGTGGCGGACTTCCAGAGTTCCACTTCCTCATCTGCCAGCACACTCTGCCTCGCCTTCAGCAGCTGAAAAAAAAACAATGAATCAGCGCACTGCGTATGGACACAACACATCTATCAATGCACCTGAAAAATAGTCACCAAATAAAGTCTTACCCTCTTTCTTCTGGCCCGACTCCGAGCAGATAGCCTGGCAGCCTCCGCACGCAGCGTGCTGGCTAGCAGCGTGTATCTGAAGCTCCTGCGTACCGTCTCATAATACGTCTTACAGGCAGCTGGAAAACAATTAAATGAGAGTGGTATGAATAAAAAAAAAAAAAAAAAAAATCAAACGCAAGTCACAGTAACAAGGAAGGAGAAAACATTAAAACGAGTCACTTCCACACAATGTCGTCTTTATCAACATCGTGCAAATCCGAGCAAATAGGAGGTCACCGCCTCATTGTGAGGCGACTGTAGTCTGTGAAAAAAAAAAAAAAAGTACAGCTATGGTCGGTATCCATCCGTATCCATGTCCTTTTACCGCAGAATGAAAGCATATTCTTTAAACCTTACCCCTGCTCCGGTTCATAGCGCCTGCAATTAGTCTCCGAGTTGTTAAGACGGCATATTGCTTCCTGTGAATCACAAAAAATACACTTTAATAAAGCTTTAGGCTAGGCTGCTTTTAGCTTACCTAGCTAGGCTAGGTTGTCTTTAGCTTGCCTAGCTAAGCTAGGCTGCTTTTAGCATAGCTACCAGTAATCGAACATATATTTACCGCTAGCGTGGCGTTGTGCACCCGTCTTCTCTTCCTCGAGTTCGTAGCATCGAATTCTCCAGCTGAGTGAGGCGCTCATTCATGTCGGCAGTATGTTGGGCAAGCTGACGAGACAGTCCGCTGATAGCAATCAGCAGTTTCTTCTCGTCGGTCTGCGGGCTGGCCGAAAGTTGTGGACTAAGAGCAGTTGGAGGCGAGTTGAACGCGAGACGTCGTGCAGCCATTGTTCACGTAACAACAAAATACAAACACGGTAAATGGAGATGAAGTTCACAACACAAACATGTCTGCTAATATGCTGGTCTCGCGAGAAGTCGTAGTGCACAAAAGCTCACACGTGATTGGACGATGGGGCCGAAGGCTCATCAGGCTCCTCCAATCACATACGACGTCATTGTTATACGGAAGGACTCGCGAGAAGAGCTCGCGTCGCTCCATTCTGGAAGGTGGCGGTAATGCACCTATAAATTGTTTGCAATTGCAATTGTTTGTCTCCATAAGATTGAATTTGAGCAGGTGGACATTAGAGATAATAAATGCAACAACAAGTTTTTGAATCAATATTCTATAAATAATATGTACCCAGGAAGAACAAAAAGCACAGCTCTCTTACAAACTTTTAAGAAATCTATGATAGTCAAAATTAGGACAAATTATTTGAAATTCCCAATTCCTCCTAAATATAAAGAATTACAGTTTAAAATAATAAATAACATATATCCTTCAAATGAGTTTTTAAGAGAGAGATTTAAGTTTAATGTTAAGAATTGTGGCTTTTGTACAACTCAATTGGAAACAACTAAACATCTTTTTTATGAATGTAAAGAAGTATTAAACTTATGGGATCAACTTCGAACCTTTCTGTCTTCTAAAACAATAAATTTAGATTTTATTTCCTGGCAAAACATTCAATTCGGTTTATCCATTAAAGAAAAAAAATTTGGAATTTTTAATCAATATTCTAATAATTGTAACAAAGTATTATATCCATAAATGTCGCTATGCAAAATGCTCCCTCTCAATCTCTGCTCTCAAAAATGAACTTTCCCTTTTCAAAAGATGTCTGAGAAAGATGCAGAATTTAAATGCAATTAAATTGTTTGAGTTAATTGAAGAATTTCAGTTGGTAGTCCCCACTGATTAATTTACTTTAACTACTATTATTATTTTATTTATTTTTATTTATTTTATTTTATTTTATACTTTGTTCCAGCCTGTGCATTTAATTTTATTTTTCAAAAGCAGGAGTTGTGATATTTCTTCTTGTATTGAAATATTTGTTATTGACTTGTTATTTGAGATTGTTATTGTTTTCTTATATATTCAATAACAAAAAAAAAAAAAAAGTGGAAATCTAAAAAAAAAAATTAACCATTACAGCCAACTGATTCTGATTAAAACTAATTTTTGAAGTAAATTATTTTGTGTATTTTTTTTACATAACATTTGCATACACAGTAATCTAGCGTACTTTAATTAAATAAATCAATTCAAGCTAAAATGTAAGAGTCTATAATTAGGCTATACTGAGCCTGATCTATTTCTACCATCTATTTGGGGGATATTTATTGCCACACTTTGGGCCACTTAAAACCAATTTAGCATGCTGGCCTATGTTCTTATGACCACAGTGTACCAATCTTCTGATGGCTACTTCCAACAGGATAATGCGCCATGTTATAAAGTGAATCATCTCACAATCATTTCTTGAAACTTTTCCACTTAAGTAATTGTGAATTGAGCATATTGACAGACAACATTTTATTTTTTATCTTAAATGCAAATTTAAAAAAAAATAATTACTGCTCTAAGGGCCGGATCTATCAAAGGTTTGCGTGTATTAAAACGTGAGCTATTTCACTGCGCACGCTAAAAAATGTACAAACTGATCTATCAACAGCGTGCTAAAAGCATTTGGTCTTTAAAACGTGCTAAATAGCGCCTCTGATCCATTTAGTACTTTTTCTGCAATGAATATGCAATATGGGGCGTTTACACGCTAAAGTGCGTCTTGTGGGAGGAGAACATGTAAATATATTAATTTAGCACTCGCAAAGTGATTTATCAAACTTGAACGCAATTTTGCTAACAGTATCTGACTCTATATTTAACACGTTTCAAAAGAAGGTGCAAATGGTCTGTATGCGTAATTGCGCACACATGGCAGCGGTTATTGTCGCAAGAAGGAGACATGGAAATAAAAC